ATAAAGTAAATACTTAAGATTCGTTTAACATTTTCATGTCACCAATACGCATACAATGAGAGCCTGTAATGCCACATATGACACTTCGAGACATATAATAATATGTATATACTGTACCTGCTTAGAGTGTCTAGAGTCTTATGGCAAAGTACAGATTATTCCAGCTTCTTGTATAACCTGAGAAGAACTTTACCCACATGATTCATGCATAACTATCTACATGTGTGCATGTGGGTGTAGCCTGAAAAGAACAAAATTACCAACACAGTGCATGCATAAGTGGAACTATGTACATGTGTGCATACTAAAATATATATCTAAGGCTGGTATGGGCAAATTTATATAACAGGTTGCTCTTATAATTCTGGTTCAATAGTTTCATTGCTTGAATGGATAATGAGCACAACTTGGCTTGATTAGATGTTATACCATTTGCCAAAGCAAGATATATAGGAACAGTTTGTTCAATAACAGTTCTAAATCAGCGTTAAATTCAGAAAAATTATAGAATATAGCAAAAATTGCTCATTTTCAAACGCGATAACTCTTCAGTTTTATGGAGTAAATTCATGTTTTAAAGTAGCATTATAAAGAGTAAACATTCCTGAATTCACTCATGTGGTTTTATTTTAGTTTCCTTGCAAAAAAGTACAATTTACTCGTGAATATTTCAATGCCACTTTCAAGGTCATGTTCGTTGACCCAAAACATGCATATAAAATACAATGGGAATTTAGCATAAGTAAAATGCGATATATATACAAAATTATTCAAAATTTTATTAAATTACTAAACAAAAAAGTTATCAAAACATACCTTTGAGAAAATGAAATCTTCACAGTAAAAATCGCAATATATTTCAACAGTTTTTAATCGAACGGCGCGTTGAGAATAAATATCTTGAATAATAATGAGCCGCCCTGATTTGCGCGTTGCATTTCGGGAAGACCCTCATTCCTCCTCTGGGTGCAAAGGGTTGGAGTACCTTTGCTCATGGAAAGCAATTATCCTCCTTATTCACAATTATAAATTTTATGAACACTGAAAAATGAGTATATTGTTTGAATTAGCAACTTACTCAATGACTGTAAGGCCGCATACATCACCAGGTGTACTGAAGCAGAAAAGGTTCATCTTCGCAGCTACAGTTACTCTAATATCGACAACTACCAACGTATTAACCTGGAAAATAATTGAAGGCAAAATGTTAAAACAAAAATTGACCAAAATTCCCAGTCAATGTTGCAGCTCATTCTTCCTATGTCGAGAATTATTTATTACTAAGTATATTCACTATCGAAATCATGACAATCATTTTAGATTGATTAAATCATACAGTCACCAAATAGATAAGCTACAGATCGATAATAACACCAATATTGTTATATTGATAGTGTGTACGATCAAAACCGGCAATTGATTCCAGTTCAGTCAGAGCTATATAGAAATTCATGCATGTGCACCTTCAAACACGTGCTTATTTTTTAGCCTTAGGTCTAATTATAGGCTTGTAAGAAACTTGTCAATTATCACAAAATATAGCTTTCCAGTAAAACTTGACTGTATATTAATACAGATCTTCACTTTTGTGTTAGTTTGTTTTTAATATTCTTTTAAAAAACGTACGCATAAACATATTATAGGCGATAAATAATGTGTAAGAAAATCATATTAATCTGGATTAATTTGCAAACATCCTAGCTAAACGAATGCTTTCACGTAACCTGAACAAACAACCTCAGGCAGTGTAATCTTAAAATAGTTATACTAATTCAACATGACAACTCGAAAAGAAGGAAAGTCAATGGTCAGCTGGCTAAATTTGCATCGCTTTAGATATGTTTCCCACTCACCTTTCCAGATTTGAGGTTGAAAATTGTTATTGCCACTCTATTTTGAGTTTGGGTAGGAGTAAGAGCTGGAGTTGATATACTATCTGCTGGATCTTCAAGTTCGCTGTTCACGGAGAAAATCTTGTCTTGTTGTGACGTAAATATGGTTGCTAAGATAGTGCTAGGTAATGAACCACTACCACTTGGTAAAACTGCGTAAAATGATAGAATAGAATCGGTTCCATTTTGCGTGGGTGAGTTCGGAAGTCTTCGAATGTGATCAGAGGTAAAACCATTCACGTCAGCGCTAAAGACGAAATGCACATGCATGATCAATGTTTAATCTACGAATAAACTGCACTTGGGGCCAAAGTCAACTGTCTGATTGATTTGTCTGGTATAATATGCTTATTAGGAAATGTCCCTATATGTGCTCAGCAAACGTTTTGATAGGAAATTTGCTGAAGATGTCATTGTCACAGATCTCTAAGTATAATTTAAAAATAGTGTAATTAATTTAAAATAATATAGCGAATCTTCCCTGTTGTACTGTAGTTTGTTAAAGAAATCCAGAATGGCGGTAGCCGGGCGGCATTATGCTACCTTGCTGGCCTTGGACTTGCTCCAAATCTCGTGTGAGAACAGTTACATTTCCAAATTATAAACTGGTCTCTTAATTGTAAGAGACTATAGATAAACCATACATATAAAAAATTAAGCCATCTCGAGCGGGACTTGGAGCAATCTATGCCATAGACTACCATCTATATACCATGCAATACGATCATGCTTTTTACAATCATATGGTGCTTGAATTTCGAATGCATGACTTACTCCGAAATGTTGCAGATATCACGATGGTACGTTGACATGTTACAGAATGCACTGATTTCCTCTGCCATGTTCTGCCGAAACACTGCATCTCGGGGAGACCACTACATAAATAACAAATCAGGAAATAGTTGAACTTAACTAGAAAATACATGCATGCAGAAACCCTAACCTTGCTGACAAAGCCATTGTATTTTCCGAACACGAAGTATTTAAAGTAGTTGTCATGGTAACACGGTAAATTTATTAAGAATAATTTTACAAATGAAAAATCCCCTAAAAATATCACTTTTAATCACAAAATTATCAATTTCCCAAACATATATATGTTAGGATTGTTATTGTATGTAATATAATAATATAACCTTCAATTTATGGTAAAATTCAAGTCACAAACGCTTCGTAAAACGTTTTAAAATGTTCTTTATAAAACTGCTTTACTACTGAATCGATAAACTTTGAATTTGAAATAAAACGATTTCAAGTTCTTGCATGCAAATAACTTTGCTTTCTTTTTTATTTAAACATTTTAATTTTATAAAAAAGAATAATCAATAATTTATAAAGAAACACTGAAATTATATGCTGTCTTCTCAGTTTTCATTTAAAAATATACGCAACGCCAACGATCAGCTTTTAAAGCAATTATAAAGCAAACAATACATCAAAATTTAAAACAAACTTACCTTCGTTAAAGTCAGCGCCTTTGCTCCCTTCTTTAAGCAATTCTCTCGCCTTTTTTTTCCTCAAAAAGCTTTTGAAATTTACAAAATCTTGCAAAAATGAAATTATATATTTGGAAGAAATTTAGAAATGATCAAATCAAGGAATGTTCGTTCTCACACATCATTAGATATGCATAGCATTTCGGCCAATGACATGGTGTAATTTACATCACGTGAATCTATCTGGATGCCCCGTCTAGGCCTGGACTTTAATTACTTCAAGTGGGAAGGGCTTTGAACAATAGGGAAATTGAGGGGTAATCAAACGATTATGCAAATATTTTAGTTGCTATGTTTAGAATTATTTCTAAATACAGTAAGCTGTAATTTAGAAATTTTACACCTTACATCTAACACTTTTTCTGAACGCTTAAAGCGGCAAGGTCACCCGCTGCGCATCCGTTCTGCGCATAGATCAACTTGAAAAAGTTCACCCAACTTTTTCAAGTGTATCGAATTTCAATATGGCGTCTGCCCAGGGCGTCATGCACAGGGATTCAAGGAAAAACGCTGGTCGAAAAAAGGTGTTTTCGAGCCGAAACGAGTACAGAAATTTATAGGAGAAAGAGCACAGAAGGATCTATTAAAGTACGTGGCAAGAGGCCAAAATAAGGGCTGGATATGAACATTCAAGTGACACTAACTTTGCTGCACATCTGTTGTCATTGGAATTTCGCCGCAGGTGGGTTTACAATATGATTTTCAATATATTTTGAAGAGTAAACGAAACTAATCTGCAATTTATTTTGCTTGGGTATTTAGGGGAATCAGTGTCTGCAAAAATACTGCCAAACACCGACGAAATTCAAACACATCGATTCTGGTGGCAACTGAGTCCTGTCTTGACAACGGAAGTACAACACAATGAGTCTCATATGGTTTGAATAACAAGCAAACATCAGCCAAGGTATGAAGATGACATTCACTTTTATATAGGATGTGCTTTATAATGGGAGTAATATTAATATTCAGTTTTAAAATACGATTTTGCAAGGTATATAGACAAAGAAAAATTGTATAAAAAATTATAAAAAGAATTGGTTTATATTTACTGTATATAATTTACAGCATTGACCACAGGTATTAGTGCTGTATAATATTTCATATTTCCTGCTTTCAGAACCCCAAACATCTACACCATTAAAAATAAAGGTCAGATGACAAAACCCTTTCTCATGTTGAGTCACCTGTACAACTGCAAAGTCATGAGCCTTTCCAACAACAGAAGGACCAGGCAGTGGGATGTGAGAAATGTGAAAGTTGAAAATGGATTCGAGTGCATTCCAGTTCTCATTTAAAAGGTTATCCAACGAGCAACGGATCGACTGCATGATGATGGCCATATTACCCACCATGTTTCCTTAAATGCAAGCGACGCAGGCCACATTGCTCCCCATTGTTGCACATATATCACCACCAGCAACAAAGGACATGCCAAAACGAAAACACTGATTTTTGCAATAACTGATGTAACAGTGGCACATTCCAATTTTGTACAAAATTTATGCAATTTCTAATGTATATTATATAAAAAATCCTTATTATTTACCATATACATACATAAATTAGAATATAAATGATTAAAATCAAATTCCCTTTGCTTTAGAAAGTTTACCAAAGGTTCATGAATATCATCGTTCTCTGTAACACATATATAAACTCCAGTCAAAAGTCTTATTTTGAAGACTACACAAGAGGGGCAAACACTGCGATTCCCTTTGCCCAAATATCCATGCCGAGCCCATGTGTGAACATAATCCGTACTCCTTATTCCTCTTCTTAGGCTTCTAATTGCCAGTTTTCTCACTGTGTCTTCATCCAGTGTATGAATAAATGCCTGTGAATTTAACAATGTATTTTATAATAAAATAATGAAATGACCATCCAACAGCTTTAACAATTTCTAGCATCAAAGCAAGATAATTGGTCTTGTATAGGTTGACGTCATGCTATTGTTTCCATCACAAAGCCTCGCTTTGGTCTCAAAGCAAAGCTTTTGGTAAGAACAAAGAAATCGCCTGATACACTGTTCACATGCACAAGCCCCATATGCATTGCAATTAGCTTAAGGTTAAGGGGTTCGTTAGTTTTTTTTACTAAATAGCTATTATACAAAATGTTGGGATATATCACTTATATAAATATATAATTATGTGTCATTTGGCTAATATTCAGGCCATCTGAAATAGGAAAAATCAGATCAGCAACAATTTGCCATCGGCAAACAGATCTACAGCATGTTAATCTGCCGCCCTGACATGATGTCCTGACAGGTTGGCAATCTGCCTTTGCCAAATTATTTCCCGTTTCAAATTTCAGTCTGTGCCATCACTTCCCAATTAGACTTTATACTGTATCACCTAGGGACGCAACTTTAAAGGGGGGGGGGGTATCCCCCCCCCCAAGTTCAAATCATCTGGATTGGCAGGGCAAATCATCTGGATTGGCAGGGCAATTCTAGCAGACCCCCCCCCCCAAATTAAAAGGGCTAGTTTTGCCCCTGGTATCACCATTCAACAGTTTCAACCAAAGTATTCAACTTAAGTAAAGATGCAGTGCTTTAATGCTTTAATGAAATACTCCTAAAACAGTATTATACTACACTAGGAGGACTGAAAAACTAGATAATATTTATATTTATTTACAAGAAATTAGTCTTCATAATCACTGTATGACACATATATTAGGCGGTGATTATAGAATGATGTTGTTATATGTTATTAACAACAACAATGGCAAAAGCGACAAACGACAATAACAACAACGACAACAACTCTAAGACTACAAAACGAACATATAGTACAATACAAACGATTCAAAACGATACTAATTAGCTACATTAAGTAACTTAATTGAAGGCATGGCAAGTGTTTTGAAACTTGGGGTTGATTGGCAAAGATTGTTAAATGGGATGTGATTCCAGGTAACGATTGTTCTTGGATAAAATGAAAACTTATATACATATATGCAGTACAATCAGATCTGTGCATGTGCTCACAGGAGGCCTCTTTTCATTATACAAACAGTTTATTTAGGTTTTTATTTCATTTTATATTCCTGCAAAGCTTGATCGTTGTGTCTTGATAATTTATTATACTCCAGAATCATGAAAATATAAATAGTCGTCCAATAAAATTCAGTATTTTGGATACTGAAATGTAAACAAAGCCTTTGTTTACATACGGACTGCACCGCATCTTCAAACATGTTTAATATACAGTACCTCGTTTTAAAAACGTTTTAAACAATTTAATAAGATGTATTAGAAATTCACAAACCTTACAGTATTAATATCATCATTTGCTCAGTGTTGACAGTTGCACGCTGTGTCAGGCCACGGAAATACATGGTACTTTCGCAAACGTTCTCTACAAAGTAGGATAAACAGTGAATATAATGTGGTATAATATGCAAACACAAATACAGTAAAAGATACCGTCAAGTACATTTGATTCGCACACGTACCCTATTTTTGCAAGGAGACTGAGGAATTTTGCGAGTTCTCCACACTTGCAGCTGGCAGAATACACAACGTTCTTTAATATTTGCCTTACGCGGGCAACCTCGGTTACTGTTCTCGTTTCTTTTGGTGGCACATGAACTTTTACAACTATAATTGTTAACCTGTATGAAATGAAGCAATTATTTGGTCTTTTCCGCCGCTGAAAATGTGAAAATATGCACATTTTTATAGTCGGAATGTTGTGATTCCGACCTTTTCCGACATATTCCGAAAATCGGTTTGTTATGCGCAGAACGGATGCACAGCGGGTGACACTGCCGCTTTAAAAACTACATAAATATACGAAAAGGAAAATTACGATTTTTTACCAACTATCGATAGTAAACAGCGCTTTAAACACTACAGCAATAATACAGCAACTTACCAGTAATATTTACCGTCTAATATATTCACTTCGGCTCTTCTATTTTCCACCAGATAGCGCCTTATCGCACACAATCTGATATATCGTTTTTTCGGATCTCCACCCTTGTCAGCGAGTGGCTTTCCTTGCATTTCAATGCTGTACTAAACACTTTCTGGTTCTCGAAACCGCTTTTTCTTATATTATAAGAAGATACCATGCTCTTTTCCCAACAAAATTCATTTATTCACGACGAAAGCGAACTGAATGCTTCGTTAACCTTCATGCAAACTTTCAAGCGAAATAGCGAATGTATTCGTTAATGTCCCACGCTCACTTTTTTGAATATCTAATAATTTCATGCCTCATTGCTATGAAAGTCTAATGATGTGTGAGAAGCATGAGCCTCCCCATTGTTCATGGCACTTGTATTTAGAAACCACGTCTAAAACACTAACTCGGATTTGAAATATTACTTATGATGCAAATTTTAAATTGGGGATAAATCCATGTAAAATTTAAAGTACACAGCGTGTACTTTCTATAATGCTGTTTTAAATCATAATAATCGCGCTGTACTGAAATAAATTACATTAGCAAAAACTTCACAATAATTACCCTTCATTTCGGGCGCGCGGTCGCCAACTGAGGAGTCGCAAATATAAAATTAGTACAATCTACACATGTAACTATATAAATCGAATTTTAACCGGCATTTAAGTGTTCGTTTACTTCAGCCAATTGTTATGCATGATCAGATCAATGTAATCCGAAGTCCATTGGGTAAATTTTTAAATAATGTAGTAATTAACTCGCGGTCTCAGGCCTAGGGCATAAACTAATTTAAACAAGAATAGACTACGCATGATGAAACAGCCTAATCGGACGATTTTGCCAGTTTCTGGCGATGTCCTTGTAATTAATAGGACTTGAAAAAACAAACCTGATCTGCTTGGAAATTTTTCAATATAACAATGATAGCGCTATCAGTATTGTTCGGTGGTAGTCCTATTGGAATTACAATTGTCGTGTCCAGCGTGAGTTGCAATCCTGTATTTGTTGCAATGGAAGCCTGTTTTTGATTTATAATTAAGAGAAGAATTGCCTGAGACATAGTTCCACCACCAGGATAATCAACATAGAATTGTATGTTCACGTCACCGCCATCTTGAATGGGAGAACCTGGCACTAGTTGCACGTGGGAGGTCGTAAATGATGCTTGATTTCTGAAATGATATATTCAATTATCTTTTGAGCAACTTTCAAAGCCCGTTGCTCGAAACGTCAAAACTTGGAGTTCCTATGATCAGATTTAATCTACCACGCATCTCTCCATGCATGCGTACACGTCAAAAATGTTGCGCAACATGCGTTTGGTAAGGGCTATATACTATGCTAAAATGCAGTACAGCGAAACCCGAACCAGGAACGTGCATATACCGAGGTAAACGTCTTTTAACTAGCTGTTGCGTGTTCATATTTCGTTTACGTATTGTCATTGATTTTTATCCTTTTGTCATTTTGCGATAATTCGAATTCGTCAATTATACACCAATGCATGTTATTATTGCTAATTATTTCCTATAACGTTTAAATGCGATAAATTGCATAAATTATGCGCAGTGCTAGGTCCCAAGTCCCAGTTATCTGTATCGTTGATTTGGTGTATCGCATTTCAATAGCTTTTCGTGAGGGCATGGCATACACGCACACCAATTAGTCGCTCATCTTAACGCAGTGCCTACAAGCATTCTGCAGATTGAACTGCACATATAATAGCACAAAATAGAAGAACATACGTTGGAAGTTCACACTCGTGAGTTTGTGATACACTCTCTCGACAATACTCGGCAATTGCCTGGGCAACATATCCTCGGAACTTATTATCTTGAACAGCTGACCACTGAAATTGAAAAAAAATTATGAATATGTTTTCAGCAGAGGTTTTGAGGTACACATAGATGATCAATCTATTCAATCATGCATAATCTAAGTAAGGTTTATACTGGTAATTGAACCAAGCTAATGAGCTCTACAATTTTAGTTGATATCAATAGCAGGAATGCATCGCAGTGAGTTACGACAATACAAAACAAAAGCTTTGATATTAATTCAAAAATATCATGTCCTACGCCTGTATTCTAAAAGCTAACTCACACTCACACTCACACTCAATGAGTGGAGGCTCAATCAGAGCTTCTCTTAAAGTGTCAATGCTGGGTTTTATTGTGAGTAGTGACATAGTAACGTACTACACTAATCCTCCAGCTGTTCAAAAACAACAATTACACTCAAAGGAACCTCAGATTGAGCTTCCACTCATACGGGCGTTAGTATTTGTGGTGCATTTTGCAAATGCTCCACGTCACTGCACTGTCACACTATATCTGGTTTTTTTATCTCTATCAATTCAACAAAAAGTCAGCTACTTCATTCCTAGAAATAATTCCAAAACATTTCCATGCCAGCAAAAATTATACCTGATTTGCTTGGATATTGGTTGCGGACACGTTAATTGCTTTGGAACTTTGATCTGAACTAGCTACAGGTGATGTGGCCGCCAATATAGAAGTTTCCACTGATATATCCAACCTCGTAGCTGTCTCAATCGCCCCAGTTTGAGCGGTTAAAATTCCTGCAAGCAAATTGCGCTGTATTGCTCCATTACCAGATGGATAGTTAACGAAAAAGGTATAAGTGACATTATCTCCATCTTGTACGGGAGAGCTTTCAATCCGAGTAACATGTGATGAATCAAACGATACTTGATCGCTAAACAGAACAAAATTAGATGATCTTAATAACTAATATGTACATCGGATAATATTAGATTCAATTTTGTCGTGCCTGAGTCTAACCACCGCGCGCCCCTGTTCTCCACGCGCGATTACTTTCATTCACGTGTGCCACACGACATCCGTTATCAGCTTTTCTTTAGAAAACAAGAGCTAGAGAACGCCGGGGGACAAGTAAGTCGTTGTGCTACATATTGCATGGAGAGGTCTAAATATAGTCTCTTCCTCTCTTTAATTAGGTAACAAGGCTAGCATTATACGCCATATTTTGTAAATATACTGCTGAAGATGAATTGATTCGAAATGTAAAGATATGTTGTTAAAATGCACACTTTTGTTCGGAATAACACTGGCGTTTATCAAAACAAGTCGCGCTTGACTGCACAAACTGGTATAATATACGGTATAATGAATTATAATTAATCCTTGGGGCAATTAGTGGCATGGTAATTTGTTACTTCCGAAACATTATCCGAAACATTAAACATGAATTCGTATACAGTACCTTGTAACACCACATGTGACTAGAGTACTTGTGCAATAACTTGCAATCTGTGTGGCTATCACAACTCTCAGCTGGTTGTCTTGAATTCCATGCCACTGGAAAATAAAGAAATCTTTTAGCATGTGAAATTTTTCATTCTTAGCAAATCAAAATTACAACAATAGTTGTCTCCACCCTCCATGCCTATTTTATGTGGGACAACAACAGATAAAGTCATATTCTCATCGAATCAGTCTATATCACTTTTTGGTTTGAAACATCTGTTTTGAAAGTACTTTTTTTATTTATGCAACTTGCTTTACTTGTTTGCTTGAACGGAGAACGAGTACACTGTGTAAATCGATTAAAACTGTGAAGCCCATTTATAAGCCCACATATATGAAAACCACATTTAATCTAGGGCCTATACTATCTTTTTCTAGGATAACGATTACCATGACGTAACAGCTTAATATTCTTCCTATAATACTCATAAAGGAATTATACCAAATGTCTTTCCATGCAGAATAGCGCCATCCATTAACGCGGGATGTGGCGATACTTTCCGAAATCACAATGTGCATGCATGACACTATCTTGTTAAACGGGTAACTTAGCTAACTTTATTTTATAACTTTATTAACGTTTTTGTTAATTTGTGTCTGTTCAATATTACTGCTAATTTCACACCTTAAAATGTTTTCATTGTCCCACAATTTAAAATTCCCGCGCGAGGGCTTTAAAATATTTTTTTCGTGCATTAATAGGATTGTCTTATCCTGCACGGACATTGACCAATAATAAAATTGAATTATATATTCTGAATACCTGATTCGCCTGTTGATTACGAATTTTGATTCCAATCGTGTTATTTGATTGATCTGAATTTGGCATAGTAGGAGGGGGAGGTTGGAACGATGTTTGCAGTGAGAAGAACAGGGTTGATACAGACTGCATTGCATTTAACTCAATCTTGACAACTGAAGCTAAGATATACTGAATTATTGGAGTTTCTCCACTGGGGTATTTCACGTAGAAACTGTAATCTACACTGTTACCACCAGCATCAGAAGGCGTTGCTGTCGAAGTACGCTGAACGTTAGCTTCAGTGAATGATGCTGTGCCTCTGTAAAATTAAAAAAATAATTTAGAAGGCAATGTTCCTATTGAGAATGAAATTAATTCCTATAGACATAGAATCTGCGGAATAATATAATTAGCCTTTCTCACGTCATCCATGCAAGCACGAATTGTTTATAAGTACTACTTGCCAGACTAAATCACTCCTTCACTTGTTGCCGTTTGCTACCAAACATGGTGGAGAAGGCCTGGTCACATGGCGTAAGAAAAGGCTAATTAATTTTTCAACTGTTAGACCTAGCGGCTGCTGCTTTTGTTATTCCGCGAATATGCAACTCTATACAGTATACAGGTCATACAACTTCTAGTAAAGAAGAGATCTTTGTCCAATAAATACCGATATAAAAGTTTTAATTTAATTGTGTACATGTTTTTAATTAAGATAAAGAAAATGTCTCACAAAATTTCATGTGAATTTATAATTTTGGTTTGTTTATTTGGAAAATTTGATTATAATCTCGACAGCAATTCCTTATTTTGTAGGATAATCCTACAAAATAAAGCCTATAATGTGCCGGTTGGGCTGAGTATAGGTATTCAATAAATAATGTGTTGCGTTGAGAAAGGACATTTATTGATTGGTAAAATGAACAGGGCACATTGAAGTGAAACTAGCCGTTGTCATAACTGTTCGAAGATAAAATCATGGCAGGATCTATTCATGGTTTATTATTTACAACACTACTCTTTATATTATACATGTTTTAGATCGGTTGATTGGTAAAATCGATTCGTTGTAGATAATAGACGCTATAGTTTACCCTGTTTGTATTTGACAGTCCATAAGGTGACCACCACAGTAGGTAGCAACCCGACTGGCAATAGAACTCCTTAAGCGACGATCATTTAAGTATGTCCACTATAGAAGATAACAAGTTAATACTTAATTTAATCAGGGCCGAACATACTGGGGGGGGATGTAACACCCTCCAAAGAAAAGTCCAGGAAGGGGGCCCAATTTCCCTCAGAGGGAAACCGGAAATGCTGGAATTGCGGAACGTATTTTTAACCCCCATTATCCTAAAAAAAGGTTTGGAAAAAAATTTTGGGCGTTTTATTTTAGCAAGAAAACGTCGACCCCCGTTAAGGGGGGACTGAAAGTAAGGGGCGCGGCCCAAACTTTTGAGTTCACCCACGTTCCTGAGTGTAATTTGTCTTCCACAAATTGTTTTGATCTGGATAAAATGCAATTCAGTGCAACGCCGATTGTACGTTTAAAATTGGAGAACTTTGCGGGCTTATTCGAGATACAAATAATTGTTGGAGGTGAATTGATTTTGGTGGCTTGGCAAGCTAATTCCGCCCCGTTTCTCGAGTATAGGTAACTGTATTATAAACGCATAATTATTAAATAAAATTTTATTTTTAGGTGAACAAAGAATGGTTTTGGGAAACCTTCAGGTTTTTGGGTCTGTTTTCTGGTAAAGTGACTATCTTTTCTGTCGGTGTATAATTTTAACCTTTCTAACTCCTCGTGTAAGACACACCCGAGTAGTCCCTGCTGCGTCTATATCTGAGACATACCCGATTTGCATCAAACGACGATATTCGAATGACAACGCTGTTAGTTGTTTGCTCAGAAGTTGCTGCCGGTGGCGTAGCTGGTGCAGCAGAGGTCTGGATTTGAACTTGCTGAGACAGTGCACTCTCAAAGTCCGATTCGCGAATCACCAGCATGGAAGCAAAAACATTCTGAAGCACCACAGGATCTGTGTTACTTGGATGATTGACATAAAATGAAACTTGAACGTTTTCTCCACTCTGAATTGGATTATTTGGAAGACGAGCAATGTTATCGAGATCGAAGCTCTGCGAACTAAAAAAACTCTGGTTAAGTAAAAAGTTTCAAGCAAGTGATCATGCAGAGAATTATGTAATTATGTGTTATGTATATGTTGTTTGTGACATGTTATTCACCTGAGCACATGACACCAACACACAAAATTATTATACCTTACAATACACTGATATCGAAGGAACTAGACTCAGTTCCGAAAGATCACCAACTTGAACCGACTTGATCTCTTAACTCAGGCGGTAGAGCATTGGACTAGTATATCCCAAAGGTCACGGGATTGATTCCAACCGTGGTCAGGCAAACTCAGAGTAACATCACAAATTATGTAATTATGTTTTCAAGTTCGTCTATGTTGTCTAAACTGTGTCAATTTGAGCGGGTGTACATGCAACACCTTGTTTGAAGACTGATTTTGATGCATTAGTACGGCCTTAACTTTTTGATTGAAGCGAACTGTTTATAGTCTTGGATGCTAAAATTCGGGAAAATCACGAGATGTCGTATTGTAGCACTTTTTTTATTTTTTAATATTTCGAAAACTAAAGTTCTTAATTTGGCCAATACACAATATTTGGTGGTTTGCAATCAATCACTTTGAGATTTGTAGGACAAAAAACAAAACACAAAAATATCGTGGCCATGTCGGGGGAACAGACACTCCAAACACAATAACTGTTGATGATATTCTTTTGTTAGCGTTCCTCGAATATTATCGCTGCCCGGTATAGTAAATGTTCATAGATACGTGCCCGACATCAAGGCCTGAGGTTTCGAAACCATCGAAGCATGGCTAATGCTCTACTCGGCCCAAGTTTACACCATATCCGCGCCCAATCTGCATGTAGTGATAGTAATTGGCTCAACTCGGCCTAATGGGAAGACCGCGAACCACGTGCTTCCATCAATTTTCGACAGAAATATATGTAGTACACATTGCTTTTGCCATAATGTGTTACTTTGCCATGTAGAAAAAATATTATTTATCCAGCATACTCACTCAGATAAACCACAGTCTTGAGTACGCGAATATGTATCCACTTCGCAATATCTGTTCAGGGTAACAGCGACTGCTCGCCGGAATATGGTGTCATAAAAGGTAGTCCACTGTTAAAATATAATCTTAAACTCATTAATAATTCATGAGTAAATTAAGCCCCGTCTACACTACGCTAAATTGTTGGTACGGTACCCGTACCACTTTTTTGGTTTTTCAGATAGTCCAAGAACCAAAAAAGTGGAACGATACAAACGGGGCTTTAGCCAACCATATTGCTTTATTTTGCTCACATGATAGGACTGGATACATAGTGAAGTATATTGTTGCAGTCCTAGGACTGGATCAAAAATGAATTCAGTCCTTGGATTGGATCAAAATTAATTCACCTCACTTTAAGTAGTGATTTATTCGTATGAGATGTCATTTCAAATCCTCCAACTCGGACTGGACTAGATTTCAAGCCCTCGCATTTTGATTCAGTCATCGGCTTCGTCTCGGACTTGATCAAACTGCGTGAACTTTATAACTTATCCCATACCTAGCGTATTAGCGGCTTTCCTAGTGGCTAAGAGGAGGTGCGCTCAATCTCTTGTTAAAAGCGGCTTTCTGATTGGTTTAGAGCAGGTGAGTTTGTCGTCGAGCTCACCTGCTTTTTGCCGAACTCACCTGCTTTTCGCCCGAACTCACCCGCTAAACTGCTTACGTTGCATTAACAATAACAAATATGGCGGACAAGATTTAGCCGATAAACCTAAACTTTAAAGAACTTTTTTCGGTGACTAACATATTGAGACTGAAGAAAAACCAAAGAAAAAATGCAGTAAAGGTAATGTAGACGTAGATAAAAAAGTATTTTCTTGCCCAGTGATTTTTTTGGCCGGGAAATGTTCACACAACATCGACAAATATATCGCGAAGAGCTACAAATGTGTCTATGGCTCGGTGTATGGGATAAAAACCAAAGGTACTTGCAGGTTCGGTGAGTCCGGGATTGGACGCACTTCGGGTGGCTGGAAGTTTCCCGAACTCACCTCGCTTCGCTCGGTAAGTTCGGGAAACTTCCAGCCACCCTCGGTGCGTCCAATCCACTGAGCTATACTATATTACTGGAGGACCTGCTCGGGAAAAAAAAGTGAAGCCAAAAACATGGCGGATCTGACGCCATTGCCATGACTGCTGGTCCCTAGATTCATGGCAACTACCACTGTCCCAACCGCGATCCTAAGCTTTCGACGATGTACTTCACCCCCCTGGTTTCAGCACAGATATTTTATGATTTCGCTTGTTTTTGAGGTAAAAATCGCACTGAAAATCTTGATATTTTTCTCCTATAACTTGGTTGATTTACAACGTCGAGGATCATGCCTTTTTGCGCCGCTCGTAGATGTATGAGATGTACAAGAAGAATATTTTTATTCACAGGTGGGAATTTTATATATTCTAGAAAATTTGAAGCAGAAGTACAAAGTACAAAGTTTATACTACGAACATAAAAGCGAGATAAAAGTACATGAACAGCAAATTAATAGCAGACATAACAACCTGTAAATGGTTGGCAATTCTGTAAATTTTATTGTTCTTTTGATTTGGCACTGTATACTAGCCTCGGCCCTCTGTATTTGCGTAGGGTTTTATAGCTGGTTATGATTTCAAAGTCCTTGCTGTACTGTCTGCACACTTGTATTTATTTAGTATTTTAGTATATTAAATTTTCCTTGACAAACTTTGAGTGATATCCTTGCCAGGTTCTTGCCAGCAGTTGTTTATAATTACTGTGTAGTTATATTAAATCTCACTTACACAACATGCAGACAAGCGAACAAATGCT